CATTGCTATCACTTATTTTTTGCAGTTTCTCTTTATTTATCTGTTTGTTTTGTCGCTGAGTAATGCGACCCATTTTTGTGAGAGTCGTTTTTATCTTCTATTTATAGAGTGGGACGGATTTTTATTGCAGGATTGCTATAAAGTTACTTTGCAGTTGCAACAATTTTATGAGGAAATATTTTTGCGCTTTGGTAACATACACATTCACACTCACGAGCACAAACACGCACAAACAGTCATGAATATGCATGTACACAAACAAGTATTGAGAAAGAAATGCACAAGCAAACACACACACAAAGAGCACAAAGAAACCGATAGATTAGGAGTATTTCTTCGTGTTTTCTTATTATATATGCTGTCATTTATTTGTGTCTGTGTGTATGCAAGTATGCAAGCGTACGTGATATGCACGAGTGAGTCTGTTCTTAACGATGTGACGTGTTTCATTAAAATTTCACTAACGCAATAATAGCAGACAGTAAAACAGACAAATGTGTAATTACGAGAACCTCCAAGACAGTAACACCGTAAAGGATAATCGTGTTCTAAAACGGACATTTTGCGACGATAACGTAACTTTATCGTTATCACCGCATTGAGACAGACCGAGATAACGATCCACCGTCTCTTTCCCTGCGTGTCTTTGTCCGTGATTGACGATAAAGAAAAGAATTAAAGAGAGAAAAAGTAAGAACGTAAAAAGAGAATTATTGTCGATTAAGCAACTCATTTAGGTCGCTTATACGACTTTGCTGATCTAGAACGTATTCAAGAAAATGACAATAGAATTATGAATGGATACAGAAAATGGTCGACGCAAGCGAGAAACGGTATGCATACATGAATAAATTTTTATTAAGGCTGGGATTTAGTTCCGCTGTTCGTTTTCTAAGTGGAATTAAGTATTAATGATTATGCGTCTTTCATAAATTATATTTAGTCAAGAAATAGAAGATAACTTTGATTACAGTTGCCAGAAAGATATTTTCGCAATGTTTTCTTAAGCGGAGGCTGATGTGGGGTTTAATAATTCAGCTTTTTCTTCCTATTCTCTCTGCTTCCACCTCCATTATCCAGTTTTTACTTCTCCCTTTTCTCTGGCCTCTTCTCTTCTTGTGTTATCACTGTTACTATTGGTTTTATTGTTAATATTATTATCATTATTGTTATTATTATTATTATCATTATTATTATTATTATTATTATTATTATTATTATTATATTATTATTATCATTATTATTATTATTATTATTATTAATTATTATGATTATTATTATTATTATTATTATTATCATTATTGTTATTATTATTATTATTATTATTATTATTATTATTATTACTATTATTATTATTATTATTATTATTATTATTATTATTATCATTATTATTATTACATTTACTATTACTATTACTATGACTACTACTACTACTACTACTACTACTACTACTACTACTACTACTACTACTACTACTATCATCATCACCTTTACTTTTTATTATCATTATCATTAACTAAAATTATTATTTTGAATATTCATATTTTCATTTTTCATATTGTTATTATTATTATCCCTGCTCTTCTGTTCCTGATCCTCCTCTCTCCTTCTTTCTTTCTTTTCTCCTCCATTCCCTCTTCTTCCCCCACAATACCCCCCCCCCCTACTTAGCCTCCTCTGGTCGAACTTGTGTTACACTCCAGCTTCAAGTCCCACTCCAGGGCAGGGACGAATAAGAGAGAGAGAGAGAGAGAGAGAGAGAGAGAGAGAGAGAGAGAGAGAGAGAGAGAGAGAGAGAGAGAGAGAGAGAGAGAGAGAGAGAGAGAGAGAGAGAGAGAAGAGGGGGGGGGGGTGCGTTCAGCGTCCCTGTTTTTCCTAATTCTTTCTTTTGTCTCCTCGCCTTTGTTTGCTGGTTTTCCTTTCTCTTACTAGTACTTGTATTGCTGTTTTATATTATTATCAATATTATTATCATTAACATTGTTACTTTTATCACAGTTGTTGCAGCTATTTTATTGTCGTTGAGTCTGTCGCCACCAAACTAAATACAACGTTTCTCTTCCTCCCGCAGGGTATGGAGACGGACGCGGCTACAGCCCCCCCGGGCCCGTCGCCCTCCCTCTGACGCCCTCGCCCGACGCCCACGGCCGGGCCCTGACGCCCACGGAGAGCCTGGGCGGGCTGTCCCCGGGCGGCCTGGTGTCGCTGGCGCCGCTGTGCCCGCAGTACGACGTGCGGCCCGACCCGCCCGAGGAGCCCATCAACCTCACCACGCGGCCGCCCGCGCTCTACGACCGGCCGCCCGAGGACCTCAGCACCGCCCACGCCATACTCGACCTGTCCACCGCCCGTGTGGCCGAGTACTCGCCCCCGCACACGCCGCCCTCGCCGCACGCGCCGCACGCGGCCCTCGAGTACCACCACGCGCTCCCGCACCCACACCCTCTCCCCCACGCGCCCCCGCACTCGCCGCACTCCCCGCCGCCCGCGCCGCCGCCCGCCTACCACCTGCACGGCGGCAGCCCCGGCGACAGCGGCGGCGTCGGCGGCGGCGGCGTCGGCGGCGAGCCCAGCGGGGCGGCCGAGCAGCGCGACGAGGGCGCCGACGGCAAGAAGCCGTGCACGGTGGCCTACACGTACGAGGCGTTCTTCGTGAGCGACGGGCGCAGCAAGCGGCGCGGCGTCGACCCCGGCGAGAAGCAGCGCTACACGTGCTCGGAGTGCGGCAAGCACTACGCCACGTCGTCGAACCTGTCGCGCCACAAGCAGACGCACCGCGACCTGGACTCCGGCAACGCGCGCCGCTGCCACGTGTGCGGCAAGGCCTACGTCAGCATGCCGGCGCTCGCCATGCACGTGCTGACGCATAACCTGACGCACCGCTGCGGCGTGTGCGGCAAGGCGTTCTCGCGCCCCTGGCTCCTGCAGGGCCACATGCGCTCGCACACGGGCGAGAAGCCCTTCGGCTGCGCGCACTGCGGCAAGTCCTTCGCCGACCGATCCAACCTGCGCGCGCACATGCAGACGCACTCCCAGCTCAAGAACTTCCGGTGCAAGCGCTGCAACAAGTCCTTCGCCCTCAAGTCGTACCTCAACAAGCACTACGAGTCCGCGTGCTTCAAGGACATGCCTCTCCCGCCCTCCACGCCAGAGCCGCCTTAGCTTCTCTCCGCGCAGCCTCCGCTCCATCCCGCTCACCGCCTGAACCGTACAAACCCACCGTCCCGACCCAAGAGAACCGAGAAGGAACAGAGCAAGCTGAAGGAAGGACGCGACAGAGAGAGGAACAGGACGACGAGGAGGGGAAAGCAAGGAGTGTTCCACGCGGGAAGATGAAGGAACAGGGAAGAAACAACAACGGCAAAACACAAAGGGCAACAGGAATACTCTTGCACGCCCATCAGTCGCTATCACCGCCTTGCTGCCATCGCCGCCCACGTCTCCCCCCCCACGCCCACGCCCCACCCCACCCCTATCGCCCAAGTCCTCCTCTCCCCAATTCCCGCACCTTCACACCTCAAGGGAGACAGCCAAGAAGAGAGAGAGAGAAGGAAGCAAAAAATCTCAAGACAACCGTGGGCTCGTCCTTGTCGCAGGTCAAAGGTCAAAGAAGGTCACAAAGGTCAACACAAAAGAGGAGAAACGAGGTCACTTTTCCATACGTCACACGAGTTGGCCTCGAAGGAGCGTCGCAACGGAAGGAAAAAGCGACGTCACTTCCTCCGCTCGGGTTCTCAAGCGAGCTCTCGGCGCGGCTCGAAGTGGCCAGATCTCAGGTTTGATTCACACTGTCTTTGTCGGCGTTTCTGTTGTGTGTGCGGCGTCGCCTTGTAATCAAAAGAAACTTATTTGTTAAATTTGATATTGTTAAGAAAAACTAAAAAAAAAACAAAATAGGAAAAAAAATATGAACCAAGACATCTTTATTCAACTGTCCAAGATATAGGGATAAAGATGTCGTGTGTAACTATAACAAAGCGTTATATATATGTAAGTGATTAGAAAAATATATATACATACACATAATATGTGTATGTATATATCGAAAGATCAAAACATTTTTTTTTCCGCGTCTGGTGTGAGATTTTCAGAGGGCAAAATGGAAGGGCGTTCATGCAAGAAACTCTACGGACAAAAATCCACATTTCAATACGCTCTAGCCACCGGGTCAAGCAAAGGAGCTCCCCTAACGTCACAGTTCTCGTAGTTGTAGGATGAATGAATATTTATTACCTATTTATTGTTACTATTACGGTTATTTTACCCCATTTCTAATAGGCACGCCCTCTTTCACGGTATTTTAAAAGGGCGTGAACGTTTCACAGACAACGAACTTGAAGTCAACGACCAAAGGGTCATAAAAAGCAATTTTCCTGCATGTATATATATAAACAAAACAAAACAAAAAAACTTTGTATAGATTATTTAAAGTTAATAATAATGATAACCTTTTCCCCCCCCTCCCCCTCCCTCCCACCCCATTAAAAAAAAAAAAGTTATCTTTTAATCCATAAGTACGTAATTGTAAAGAAAAGTTAATTAAAACATTCCATACCAAAAAAACATTCCACTATGACGCAATTTTGAAGAAAAAAAAAAAACTCAAGATGCGTTTGCTTGTCTTTGTAGGTTTAGGCCTAAGGCAACCGATATTTGAAGTAGCTCTAAGTATTTTTCGAATCTACATAACAAGCCAAAGGATAGACTATATTTGATTGTAGGCCTAGAGAGCTTTCTACGAGTTTTTCTAAAAGTGTAAGTTTCATTTTGATTATTTCGGTGCCTCGCGGATGGACAGCGTTGCTACAAGTAGGCCTAAGGAACGGAATATCAGGAAGAATAAAAAATAAATAAATAAATAAACAAACGAAAGAAAGATAGAAAGATAGAGATAAAAAAATATAATCATAAGTAATTTTCATTAATTGATTTTTTTTATCTTTTTTTGAGTCATTCAGCTGTTCATTGGGCATTTATAGACATAATTTATTTTACATAATCTCTGACATTCCGTTTCCTTTAGCCCGATAAGCACGTCCCAAGCGAACACCCGTTGAGTGTGCTCTAGTCAAACACGCTGCGGCAGTTACTTAAATAATATTAAATTACCATAGTCATTAGTATAAATCAGGAGTCAGTTACTTGATAATGATGTATAATTACGAAGGACAATGTGGATGATAATGAGGATGATAATGATGTTGGTGATGATGATGATGATGATGGTGATGGAGAAGGATGATTGATGATGATGATGATGATGATGATGATGATGATGATGATGATGATGATGATGAGGCTAAGAAATGATGCGGAAAAATCTGACCACGAATCCATTATTCTCCTTTGATTTCTTGGTGAATTTTGAACGAGCATAATAATATTTTTGTTAGATACGTTGTACAGAGTCACCCTGAAGCCTGATGGTAATTAATGTCGCCTTTATGTGGAAAGAGATTGCAAATGAAATGATATCTAATTGATTAATGCAATGAAGAGGGAAGCGGGTAGGTACGAGGGAGAGTTAGATGGAGGGAGAGCGAGAGCGAAAGAGAGAGAGAGAGAGAGAGAGAGAGAGAGAGAGAGAGAGAGAGTGAGAGTGAGAGTGAGAGTGAGAGTGAGAGAGAGAGAGAGAGAGAGAGAGAGAGAGAGAGAGAGAGAGAGAGAGAGAGAGAGAGAGAGAGTGAGTGAGTGAGTGAGTGAATGAGTGAGAGAGAGGAAGAAAGGAAGAAAAAAAAACGCAGATATGAAATAACATCTCTCATGTATCTTTTCCCGTTTCCTTTCTCTTATTTTGCTCTTTGTAGTAATCTTTACAAATCCTCCCCTCCCCCCCACACACACTCTCTCTCTCCCCCCCCCCCTCTTTCTCTCTCTCTCTCTCCTTATCTCTCCCCATTCCCTTTCACCTTTAAAACTAACACACTCCAATATCTCCCCTTGTCCATCTATTCCTTCCATTCTGTAATAGTTATTTCATATGTTCGTATCTTCGCTCCCAGGTCGCCGGGGCTCGCTAATTGAGGGCGATTAACTCTCGCTGAGATGTATGTGACAATTATCAAGGTGTCGCTTTCCCTCTTCTCTCCTGCTTGTTCCTCTTGCTCTTCCATGTCTGTGGTTGTTCGTCTGTTCGTGTGTCCTTGTCTGTTTGGCTCTTCTCTCTCTCTCTCTCTCTCTCTCTCTCTCTCTCTCTCTCTCTCTCTCTCTCTCTCTCTCTCTCTCTCTCTCTCTCTCTCTCTCTCTTTCTCTCTCTCTCTCTCTCTCTTTCTCTTCCTCTATTTGTCTGTCTGTGTTTTTCTGTTTTTCTTGATTTTCCTCTGTTTTTCTCTGCCTCTCTTTCGCTTTCTCCTATTTCTCTTCACCTTCCTTCTGTTTCGTAATTTTCGTATTTTTTTACCCTTGTCATTCTATTTCCATCTTCCGAATGAGAAAGTGGATAGAGGAGATAAGGAGACAAGAGAATAGATAAGACAATGTATGGACAGAGCAGAGAAAAGAAAAGAGATGAAATGAAGGGAGTGAAGAAGGGAGAAGAGAGAATCAGAGGAGAGAGGGAGAGAAACAGAGACCGAAATAACATGAACGAAAGGGTAAGGAATGCAAGACTGATGTAAAATGAAGCAGACAGGGAAAGGTCGAAAGCGCGAGAGAGAGAGAGAGAGAGAGAGAGAGAGAGAGAGAGAGAGAGAGAGAGAGAGAGAGAGAGAGAGAGAGAGAGAGAGAGAGAGAGAGAGAGAGAGAGAGAGAGAGAGAGAGAGAGAGAGAGAGAGAGAGAGAGAGAGAGACGGATGAATATGGGAATGGTTACGTATTTTTTCCCTTTTTTATCGAGAACTGATGAGAAAGCAATCACAGTTAAGAGAGAAGAGAACAATAGAACCCTGTAATAGATAGGAGGAAGAGGAGAAAAAAATGAAAAGTTATGGAAACATAAATGTCAAAACTCGTTACTATTTCTCTTTTTAAAAACCTCCCGAGTCGTTGAATTACACAGCTTCTTTCACAAATCAAATTTAAAGTTTTTTTTTTCTCTACGTCATTTTATTCCTCTTAGCCCGTAACACATATGTCGGTTGTACAGGATCTCACGTCTGGCGGATCCAATCAAACATCGTTAATTTCTTCCTGTAATGACCTTTCTTCTCCCCCTCCCCCTCTTCTCAAGCCCCACCTCCCCCCCTCTCTCACCCCCACCCCACCCCCGCCGCCGAAGCCTTCCTCCAAGAATTAAAACTTTATTACCGTAAAGTTTAACGAGAAACATTAAGTTGCTAAACCCTCCCCCTTTTCACCCTCGTTATTCCAAACTTGGTTTACATGTTTGGTTATATTTAGTTTTCGAGCTTGTTTTAAAGCAATTAATTACCAGAGCAGACCGTCGGCTCTATAGATAAAGAAACTTAGAGCGCTGTGAAGAAAAAGGTCGTTGTGTGCGGTGAGTGTTCTAAATATTCTATCCAAGGAGACTCGAGATCGCCGGTAAAAATGTCACGCTGATATTTAGCGGTCGACGGCGCATCGCGAACGCCAAGATCCACTTCAATTTCGATCGACAAGCTTTTTTTTTTCTGATAAATGTTCGTATTCGGCAGTTTTATTTGAAAAAAAATAAATCAAATAGAAAGAAAAGCCAGTTAGGAATCACGGCGTGCACAAATTACACGGGTTTCTCTACTAAGCTAAGTCGCACTTTGTGAGGAAGGCCGGTAAAAATGTCACGGTGGTATTTCGATGCTCTTTTGTTTCTCGGGAAGGAATCGAGGCCGACTTCGCCTCCGTGCAAATGATCCTCTTTCCTCCTCATTTACCGTGATTCATATCGCCGCATTACCGCCTTGAGGTAATCATATATCCTCCAGAGTTACGGCAATAGATCTTAATTACTCAACCCCTTGTCCTTATCCCTCGCAAGATTGAGTAAATATGTAAATATGTCAAGACTTGTCTCGGGGAGGATTTCCAACGTTCATTTTCCGAGTAACCTCCTCTCCTTTCCTTGTAATAGAAAAAAAAAAAACGTTATAGATCAGTTTACGAATTCAGGAGAATCAGAACTCATTTCCCTCCCGGCAAAAGAAGTGCTTTTTCATCCCGGCGGAATAATAGTGGGTATAAATGAATAGTAATCACTTTGAGCGAACCACACCCACCTTATCTCGGCCTCGTCAGTGATACCAACCCAACTCCTGTTCCCTTTACATACTCCGCTGTCGAATAATTTCTTTCTCTCATTTCTCTCTTACGGTCGCTCTCTCTTTTGACATTTGGTTTACTGTTGTTGTTGTTTTTTTTCTGGTTTGATGGGATGTTTTAAATGTGAACCAATTGGGATTTGAATGTTGGAAAAAAAAGGGGAAAAGAAGAGAGATTTGGTTTCGGTGATGACAGGTTGGCAACACTGCTAGCTGATAGCAACAGGTTCGGCTTTTAACACAAATGGCAACTATTTTTTTCATCCAAACAGACGAAAGGGGAACGTTTTGATATAACATTTATTTTTTAATAAAAAAGGTAAAACTAAGAAAAAAACTAATGCTCACTTAACCACTTACATTAAGTGATAAAAAGGGCATCCTTTGATAAGAAGGAAAAAGTAAGAGAAAATGGATTCGCTGTTAGACGCCATCTTAGCAAACTGTTATGTATTGGAAGGTTAATCAATAATATGATATTTCCCTTGTACATAGCTAAAATACCAAAGATTTCTTTAAGAATCACTAAGATCACTTTAGTTCGGTCTTTTTTTTTGTAAGGAGTTTCTGAATCGTCTTTATCCACTTCTCCTTTTTTTACCTCTTTTCTTTTTTCTAATCTCGAGAAGATCTCTGTCTTTCAAGAATTGTGGAAGCTGTGAAAATAATTCTTTTTTTTAAATCACGTCTTGACCCGTTTTCTTGGGCCAACCACACCTTCTCAGACAAGATCTTGGATAACCTCTCTTCACAAACGACCTAGTCTGTACGTATCATAGACCTAAAACGAAGGAGATCATGAACTTAGGTTAGTTTACCCCCTACATTAGCGGGGGAGTAAAGAAAACGTTATTCTAGATTATCGCAATAATACACTTTTTATGCAAATTGTATAGCAATGATTTTTATAGGTATTAAGTCATAGGTTACGATAAGGGATTAGTAGCTGAAACCAAAGCAATATGCAATTATATCTTGCAATATAGTATAAACCAAAGCAATATGCAACTAATACATGCAGTATAGTGTGTAAATTAAAGCAATAAGCAATTACTGACTTGCAATCTAGTGTAAACCAAAGCAATATGCAATGACTGACTTGCAATCTAGTGTTAACCAAAGCAGAAACTAATAACTAAAGGAAAAGCAAGCCTATGCAACCTTGCCCATGGCTTGCTCTCTTGCAGAATACCAAAGTTATCTCGCTACGGAATCGGTTCGTCTGCGCTGACCAAAGTAGAGAGCTGTTACGCCAGAATCAATACTACTATTACTACTACTACTACTACTACTACTACTACTACTTACTATTACTACTAATACTTAAGGCAATACGTAGAAGTAACAAAAGCAATAACTTTAATACTTCGAAATGCAGGAATATTGTCTACTAGTCAAGTTTCACAAATATACAATCAACTCTTCGCATTTTCTACAACGAACGAAGGAAAAAGTCACATTTTTTCTTTTATAACTTACTAATCACATATGCACAGTTCTTTTCCATTTTATTTTTTAAACATATGAAGCAATATATAGATGAGTATATATATACATATGCAAGTTTTTTCAACATTATCTCCTCGATAAGTTATTTATGATAATATAATATATATGTATAATGTCCTTATAAAAAAACCATCACATTTCATATGCAATAATAGGTTACACAGACAAGGTTCCACGGCTCAGTGCCTATTGCCCGGAAACCATTTTGTAAATAAGGTTCATTCTCCAAGTATTACAGTATGGGAGAGTGGGCCTTATGACACGGTGCATGTAAGGGTCAGAGTCGTGGTTCTCGCGTCTTGAATTTAGGTTCTTTGTGGAGACTCCTCTGGTTGCCCCTCTTTCCTCCTCCCCCCCCCATCTCTCCCCCTCTCCCCTCCTCCCTCTTTTTTTCCCTTCTCATTTCTCTTCCTCTAAATTTTTTCCCATCTATCTAAATTTCCCTCATTCTCTCTTTTCATCCTTCCTTCTCTTCCTCAACTCTCTCCATATTTTTCTTCCCCTTTCCCTCTTCCGCCAAGCGTCTGTTATCTCTCTTATCTTTCCTTATTCCTCTCCTTCGCCCTCCACCCCCCCCCCTAGCGAAGGGCGTGGTCACCGAGGGGCAAAAAAGAGAGATCTTCACACTAAACCTTAAGTAATAGGGAGAGAATGAAAGAGTGAAAGCAGGACTCAAGTAGGTGGAGGTGAAGTAAACAATAAAAGAGTAAATAGAAAAAAAAAAAAAAAAAAAAAAAGCAAGAAAAGGAAATTAATTCAAGATTTGATTAAACTGTGACAAAGAAAACAACAACAATAAGGATTTCTGAATATTTAAGAGTCAGGAAAGGATGAAAAAAAAAATTCGACTTTGTTATAATTAAAAAAAGAAGCAAATCAAACATGCCTGGCGTATATATTAATTAATAATTCACTTTCTAATCAAAAGTCTACATAATGCGCAATTTTATGCAGTACGCTCAGAATGCGCCGAAAATCAAAGTGCAAACGAAATTATAAATTATAATAATAATTAAAATAATAATAATAATAATAAAAATAAGAATAAGAAAAAAAAATCCTATTACCTACACCCTCTTGAGCCCTATTTTAATTAAGCAATATTAATACTCAGCAATAAGTTAGCAACATTGACCATTTGTAGCAATAAAAATGTGCAATACGCCCCCGAGTAGCTCAAAAGTGAAGGGAGGGTCTGTAGTTATTTTAAAGGGAAACTCTGGTATGTTAATGAGGTTTTTTTTTTTTTTTTTCACGCTAATAAATAGTCTGGGTGAAGTTCACTCTAATGAGGTTCAGTCCCGGCTCTTCGGTCGCTGTATCGGGGTCGGATGCGTCCCGAGGTTTAAAATGGGATGATGTATTAAAGGAAAAAAAATGGAATTATTGTTATTATACATCTCTTGTGTTTCAGTAATGTCTCTTACCTTCGTGATCTAGTCAGCTTATGAACTTATGAACATTTTGATAATCAAAGTGTTCAGCGTGATTTTGAGATCAAAGGAATGTTTTTAAAAAAAATTCTGACAAAAGTAAACGAAAAGCGGCTGATAGGTAAGCAGGTCGCCATCCCCCCCCCCTAATTTTTCTTAACATACCCGGGGAACCTTTTAGAATAGAATTTTAGCAAAGGAGCAAAGTTTGAAAAATTGCACCTTTTTTCGGGTGAGCAGAAAAAAAAAGTTACAAACAAACGCAGATACACATGTAAGCAAGGAAAAAAGAAACAAACAAATACAAAAACGATTTTTTTTGTTTATGAGGTGAATTGGATTGATGTAAATAGGTATTAAGAATGTGTTTGGTGTAACACAAGGTAACTGATAAATTGTCATATTTTCAATTAGAAATAATAGTAATAATGATGATAATTTTCTTGTATGTATCAACAGTATCGTGCCATGAACCTAAAGACATGTTCAGCGCAAGAAATAATTAATCTAGTCTTTAAAAAAGTGCAATTTTCTGAGACTTAATCATAGTGCTTCTAAAAGCTTCCTTATTATACATAAACGAATATTTAACTTCTAATGTTGAAAACGAAACTTCCATTGTAAAGATGAAAGAAAAAAGATCATCTCAGGAAGTTCGTTTGCTCTTTTCTGATGTACATAAGGTTCAAAGTCCGAGTCAAGTATCCCATGCTAGCCGACCTTACGACCTGCATCGAATCCTGACTGGTCGAACGCTTTTTTCACGGTGCGTTCTGATTGGCTCTTAATGAACACGGTCGCCGCTAGAGGAATGCCTCGGATTTCGTTCCTAGAATATGCCCTCTTTGATAGTGTATTCTTGCTATGATATTTACAGACTATTTGATAGAAGATGAAGAAAAGAAATAATACTTTTTTCCTTTTTGAATCGTAGTTTATATATGCCTGTGGCGAGAGTAGCTATCATGAACCTTATTGAGTGGGCCGATAAGACAGTTTTTTGGATGTTTTTTTCTTTCCGAAGTCGGTGGATGTATTTGCTTATGTATATAAATCGCTATTTTTATTGTCATTTTGTTTTCTAATTGACATGTTAATGAAGTGATATCAATTCTTCTGTAATAACAGTTATGGTAGGATCATTCAAGACAACGTACCATTCCATATAATAAAAAACAAAACAAACACACATTCCTAGCAATAGAATTTTCCTATTACTAAGCAAGCAATATTTTATAAGAATGAAAAAAAAAAAAAATCTCTTCAAAAACATTCAACTATTCTTCCAGTATCCCTATCATCCATATTATACCCCCCTCCCCCCCCGTATTTCCTTTGATATTAAACGATGACTAAATACACT